GTCGTCAACAAGCATACTTCATTCCTTGAATCGATCAAAGTACAAATAGAGAAAATTAAACATCTTCCAAAATTACTATAACATAATTGAAAAGCAATAAGACATAGAGCAGATAGATCATCGCAAAAGAGAAACATCGAATCCAAAACATGGTTCGGATGCATCAAAAAGGTCTTCGCAGCAAAACCGGTGAGTTTTAGGTTAGTCATTTTTCAATATAATTATGAAGATCCCGGCAAAGTTCCAATTTATTTTATTGTTTTTCTTGTTAAATTCCTACACGGCTTACTCAAGACAAAAAGCAACTACTTAAACAGATCGGTCATAAATTCTAAAGGTCTTAATCCACTTTCGTTGTAACAGTATCTTGATCTAAGGGGGGTATATATTATTATCTTTTTTAAACACCACGTACGACGTTAGTTTATAAGATAGTCTATAAATTCTTAAGTGCTTACTCGTTGATGTGTAGATATTTTTTTTTATCACTACATAAAAAAAATGGATTTGAAGAGATATCCCAGCAAATAAAAACAATAATTAAAAACGATATGATCACCAAATCTTCTGGAAAGCTAATCTCTTACTATTATCTCTATTTTTGTTTAACCTACTCTTTGATACTGCGAATCCTCGTTGATCTCACCTTTAAAAATTAAAGTTTTGGGATCATGCATATATTTTTTTCCGATTATCAATTTTTACAATGATCAAATCTGTATAATTAAGATTAATGGTCATAACGAGCCCGGTATTTAGGATATGTCAAATAAGCATTTATTTTTTAGATATATGTTGACTTTGTCGAAGATTTCTTCACATCGACGACGGTATCCAAAGTAAAATTAATTCAATATAGATATAAGAATGAAGCTATTTATATATAAGATGTGGACCGTTAGAAACCGCGTATTATAAAACTATATGAATCGTATGCTTCATACCCATTAATTAGGGCATTTGGTTTTGCTTCCTTTTTTCATATTGACTTTCGAACTCATTTAATATAGGGATAATTGTAAAAATACTATTTTTGGTGAGCCATTTTTGAAAATGGTATTATGGGATATCTATTTATAAAAATACTA